GACAAAAACAAAATCCTTTTTTGCAAATAGACAAAAGTTCTAGACCCTGTAACACCTCAACAGAACTGTTGAATACTCTCCGTTTCACACCTCTGAGCCTCCAACTGAAATGTACAAAGAATGGACAGAGGACCATTCAGCTGCCTGAGCTGAGCCCCGGACCAGCAGGGCCTGAAACTCACTTGGGGAAAACCAAGCCAAGGATGAGGTTCTTGAGGAACCCTCAACACGGAGATTATTTCGTTTTATCGCTGCTTTCGGCATCATCAGTCTCCCTTTGGTGGACACCGGTACTTTCTGACATCATTTTGGAAGCTCTGGGTCTCTTTGATTGGCGCCTACACGAACGACTGTGTTGTGTGCTGCAATGAGCTGGCCAGTGGGATGGCAGCAACTCTACGGTAAATGACAGATTGCAAGACCTGACCGTCTTTAAAAGAACAAAAAGTCAGACGAAAAAATGAAAACGAGCTACTTTTACACACTCATGCCGACACTGAGTGTGAGTAGTTTTCAGTTGCCTCTCTGAGGAAGACTTTGCTGCTCTACAACACGGCACAGTGTTTCTAGTTATATCAGGGTGGGAGTTTATGGCAAACGATGACAGAAGGCTAAGGGGAAATGGCAAGACTCTGTTCCCCCTTGACAGATTATCAAGCATGCGTTTTTTACACGTCACTGTGAGGTGTTCACATTATCATTTTTCTATATACTAGAATTTATTACGTTAGAAAGAAAATAGCAAAACACCTACATCCACACACACTACCAGCACACCCGAGTCCTTAAAACCACACACAAACTTCGGAATGGCATTTACTTCCATGCAATCCTGAAATCTCTATTGACTCTTTGCCAGTATGGATCTTTAAGTCGTATCGGACACTTGAACTCCCATTTTTCTACTTAGGTTGAATGGAACAGAACTGCAGATCCCTTCAAAGTCCTATCATGAAGCATCCAAGACCCTAAATGACCCTCAAATCTGAAGCTTTTGAAGATATTCAAAGGACACAAGGTTCTCCGTTTTTTTTTTTTTCTGCTACAATCATGACAACTATTGCATTATTGCCAAAAGAAGAAAGAAAAAAGAAGCAAACTATGAGTACAAGCTGTTAAAAGAGTGGCGTGGAGAGCTGTTCTTTTAGAACTGGTGCTGCTTTTGCTACGGAGGCTGTGCAAACGATTCAGAGGAAACATGGAGTTTGTGATGAACAACAAGTGACGCCCTTTGCTCGGATGCTACAGGCAAAGTCTGTTGATTGAATATTTTGAAAATATACCACTTAATGCATTCAAAAATAAAACTATGGCAGAGGTTTTAAACACTGGAATGAAGAGTGTTGGGCAGTAGTAGCAGAGAGATTTCATCAAACAAAACATTGTTCAGGGTGTACTTTGCAAACATACATGTTTCAATATTCACATTTTTTTAAAACTTTTCAAAACAAAATATAGCTCTTCTCTTTAATTATAATCTTTTTTTTTTAAACATTAATTGCATATAACATTTTTTTAAATTTATTTTATATATATTTTTTGTATCTCTAGCACCCTTGTCTTCAACTAAGGGCTTGCAGAAAAGACAGTCATGCAAAGTAGTCATGCTGGTAAACAAAGATACAAAAATGCATTTATTTTACTTTTTTTTTTTTAAATTAATCGCAGTGTCCATCGTTTGTCGTCGTTATTTTTGTCATAGGCGAGAGTCTGTCATTGCTAATTGTCTTTCAAAAAACATTTTCTCAGTGCCTGTGCAGGGTAAACACGTTTGAACACCCGTCGTGAAGGAATACTTTTCTGTTTTCTGGGACTCCATTTCACGATGGCAAAATATTTTCTTTGCATGATTTTTTTTTTTTTTCTTGCTCGACTCATCCCGCGCAGGAACATCCTCCAAAGTCATGAAGCGTTTTAGATTTGTTTATCAAAATATAGATTTGTTCTCTTTGTACATGTCCACGCTTGCTCTTACTCTTGATCAAATTCCTTCTCATTTACCCCGTTAAGGACACCCCCTGATCTTCATCTTGATATTGACTCGCCAGTGAAGCAGTTGGCAGCAAGAGGGACAAGAGAGAGACAGGGCACAATGCGTTCAGGGAAGTTTTGTGCCGTTTTTGGCAGTGTTGGACATATGAATCAGATTGGTCCCTTTTTAAAACAACAGCATAAACCCACAGCTAATTAAACACATAATCTTTGTATTTTGTTGTGATTTCTGAATGGGCAGCCAATACCTCTTGACTCTCAGTGTTTGAGTACTTGTTTTGACTCTTTGAGTCAGTACATTGTCTCCTCATGACTGCATCAGTCAGACAGGGGAAATATTTACATGGGCTTTCAGGCACCGGATGCTAGTGGCAGTTAAAGGACTGAGAATGTCTGTTAGCATAAGCGGGAGCAGAAACCTCACTCTATATTGAATATCTCTACTAATCTACAACACGTTTACAGAGGGTCGTTTAGCAAGTGCATGCTAAAGGACCTTGGCTACCCAACACAGATTTTCGTGCAAGCTCACATACATGGGAGAGAAAGGTAGGTCTTGTTCCACTAGTTTGTGACTGAAACCATTTTCAGGTTGGTTTGAATGGTTGAGCTAATGCTACATGTGCTTCGTTTGTTCAGCTGCTGTTTTATTGATCTCAGTAGTGGTGAGGAGGGCAGTGTTTCACTCTGATAGAAGTTAATGGAAGACTACACAAGTGCTAAGACTTTAACAAGGGACGATTGGGGGAGGTGCTGTTAAATACTGTGCATTTGTGATTGATCTAATATTTGTGCATCTCTCTTTGACTTCTTTTTGGATGTTTGTTTGTTTTTTTTGTCATGAATAAGACAAATTATTTGTCTCTCATGTGTTCCCTCTACAATTTAGTTTCCTCTTCACTGGAAAGAAACCCAAGAGTGACATCTAGAAGGTCCCTTGAATGCATAAATTTCTCTCACGTTGCACTGTTGATGGATTAAGTCAAGTTATTTCCCAGCCAACAGATGCTACAATGCGTTAGCAGAGATGCTACATTGTTCGTTCAGTCCAGGCGAAGACAAGTGTTCTCTTTGATTTTTCTTCGTCTTCGTCGGAAATGTGTGAAGTTGCTCAGTTGCTCAGCACTGCAGACGATGCTGATTTGGTCGGTAAGCAAGATGGCGTTTACAATGATGTCCGAGAGATGTCATCTGGAATGTGTAACAAGGAGTCCTGTTTCCTCCGAAAAGTGTGTCAGTGCAATGCTCAGTCAGTTTGCAGAAAATATAAGGGGAGGGGGAAGGGTCAGGCAGATGGTTGTCGAAAAAGTGGGGTCGACGTTTCCGAGAGGCTGCTTTGGTAACGATGTGAGGAGCAGACCATGTGATATTTTTTATACTCATGATTAAACTCTGGTCTCTCTTGTCATCTTAAAGATCTCCGTCCACGAGGAGGCTGCTGCTAATGTGGCTCCAGCCACAGTTTTGTTTACCACTTACTGACTCCTCATAAAAGAGAAGGCGAATGCTAGAAACTTAACACTGCAAAGACAAAAACAGAAAGGCATCATTATTACATTTACATGATAATACATCAAATGTATAGAATGAATGAAACTTAACTTTTAGCTTTACAAGCATTCTGTAGATTGGATTATAGAAGCGTTTCACTAATATAAACCAATCTTTTGCTCATACACCAATTTTTATTTCAAACTAGTCAATTACTTTAGATAACACAGGTTCATAATGTTACTGTCATTATGAACAATATAGTGAAATAATCAGGGATTACCATTACCTGTCAAGTGTAGTTTAACTGTGTCAGAATGAAGTGCACACATTTTAAGAACACGCTACAAAAGTATATAAGATAGAAAGATGCAAGCAGAGAAAGTTGGCACAAAATTGTAATCATCGCTGAAAGCTAGAACAGTGGATTAGAGGAAACACGTTGCCAACAGTCCTTTCAGATCTAGAAGGGTGTTTTTCTGATTACAAGGCTGAGTTATGAGCAGCTCATGAACATTCACTAATCAGTATGTGTTCATACACATGTAGAAAATGTTCATAAGATGTGCACATCATGGTAAAACACATGTTGCTACAACAATAAGACATAAAGCTATTTTCACATTTGAAGATGATTGTAAAAGGTAAACTCACAGACAACTTTAATGAGCTTAAACAACTTAGTGCAAACTTTTTTTTGTAATATTGCCACAAAATATGGGAAAATTGCAACAATTGCCAAGGGATTGATACACCTTTGTTGTGACGTCATTACTGCGGCTCCTCTTGTGCACTCTTCATTTCACTCTTTTGCTCCACAGCGACGTTCTTTCACGAGTTTATTGTTTTCCCAACAAGTCCGTTGCAGATTAAAATCTTTTTAGTCGCTTACAAGCAGTAAGCGGCTAATACAATTAGCATTTAGCAGCTAAAACTGTTTGACATGTAGTTGCAATGCAGCTGATCACACAGTCAGTGTAAATTATTTGAAATCACACTTTAATGTAAACTTAAAAAAAAAAACACATTTGATAATTGTTTTAAATTTCAATCAAATTCAACCCACTGTACTCACTAATTGATTTGCAGAGTCTTTTACCCATCAAAGAGGAAAAAAAATATCCCAACAAGTATTGTTTACAACGATTTACCTGCATTATTTTTTATCAATTACGATAATAGGGTTATAAAAAAATATATTTAAAAAAAGTTAAACACAGACTGAGCTGGACCAGTGGAGGAGCCAAAACTTTTTTTATGATAGTAATAATGATGAAACTTATTATTTTCGTCCATGTTGCTCAGAAACTCACGCCTCAGTTTTCCTGCTTATTGGTACGTGGCAGTATTTTACACAGTACTTTTATTATCACGTTTGTTTACCAAAGGCCAAAGAAAAAAAAATTGTCTCTAGAACACTGATAAAGTTAATAAAGCAATTATTTGTTTTCAATATGAAGACTTATTCTTGTGATGGATCCTTGCACACATTAAACATATTAGGAAATTTGCAGTAAAGTGTTTATTATATTATTTAAACTGTTCATTTTATGAAGGACTTTGTCAGAGAGCCATGTTTCCTTATTTGAATCGAAGAAAAAATGAGAAGAAAAAGAAAAAAATGGTAATAAAGAGGATATCTGAAAGTTTAATTCCTACAAGAAAGAAAGAAACGTGATTTTTAAAGTTCAAGCTGATTTAAAAAAAAACAATAAAATCACTCTTTTTATTATTAATAATGGTGACAACTTTTATTTGTTCAGTGACATAAATCTATTTACTTTGTAGACTTTTTCCAGGATTTGCTTTCTAGACATGCATTTTTTGTTATTAAATTAATTTATTTATTTATTTATTTTTGCTGTTGTTGTTGTTGCCTTTTGGACAAACTATAAATTGATCATAAAATCACTGATGGACAAAAATGTTTAAATCATGAGAGGAGGTGGAAAAATTCTGCTCGCTCGCAGACTAAATGATTTTTAATATGTACCAAATTTAATAATGAAATAAACACGTTTTTTTTTTAGAATAGCTCTTGGAAAATTGCACAAAGCCTGGTCTTACCACATAAATTATGGGATATTAGGTTGTTTCTGACCTTGACACGATCAAGGTCGTAAACTAAGCCAGCAAGGCCACTCCTGCATCAAATTCATGATGACTAAGCTGCTCCTCCAAACTCCATCCAGGACTCCAGGACTCTGCCACTAAGATGATAAACCAGTACAACCTCACTACAGAAGTTGATGGTGGACCTACCTCGCTCTGACACAATGATTGGGGGCAACCTTTATTCCTAATATGCCCCTGAAGACCCCACCTGCAAAGACTAATCCCAATCTGGCTGATTTTTATTGTCTAGCAGGGTCGTAATCCAGTGTGAACGGGGCCTTAAGATGTTTTGTGGCTGCTTTAGAATACAACTACAATTTAAATATTTATAAAAGGAAAAGGAAAAAGTCCATTATTAATATATTTAAAATTTGTTAAATTAAAAAAGAAAGCCAGGCTCAGTTTTAAATCCTTGATATAGACATATAGGTGAGTTCATTTCTTGTATGACTAATTTATTACAACTTTACTTTAAGCCTACAGTTATAACACAACTCGGATTAACTGATAAAATACCAGAAACTCCGAACAGATAAGGTGCTTGTATAATTGTCCTGATGACAGCTCAACAATCCAGGTAAATAAACCTAACAAGGTCCTCTGGATGGATTCTTCTTTGTTGAAACGCTTCGTCTTTTATCCAAAAGCAAATGACAAATAGCAAGCGACCATCAGAGCGCTAACCATCGATCATAAGGCTGATGGTCCTCCTTTTGCATATGAACATGGGAACTGGTTGATCCACTATAAGGTGCTGCTTATAGGACTGAGTTTGGTGCAGCTCCTCAGACTGAAGAAAACTTTTGGATAAAAGATGAAACGTCTCAACAAAAAGAATCCGTCAAAAGGACCTGACTCAAACTTGTTAGATACTTGTATATATTTTTTAGAGCCGTTGCGTCTTCTGATCCATTTTGTAGCATCACAGAGAAACGCTCCCACTTTTTGTCCTTGTCATTTACAATTAAGAAAAAAGAAAAAGACGAAACGTCTCAAAAAAATAATAATAAAAAACACCCATAGGATCTGATTTAACTTTGTTGGATTTTTCTATCTGGATTATTGAGCGTGAACTTTGATGTTTTGAACCACTTTGGCCATGGCTGCCTCAGACGAGTCGGCGGGGGAGAGGGCGGACTCCAGAAACCATCTTATCACCATCAAACTGGTTGACCCACTATGTGTAGGTGCCGTTTATAAGACTGAATTTGTTGTGGCTCCTCTGACTGATGAAGTATTTTGGATGAAAGATGAAACGTTTCAACAAAAACAAACTGTCTAGAGGACCCGACTTAACTTTGGTGGATAAGAAGGAGTGGTACATTTATAAGTGCAAGCATCCTCAGAATCTCATATGTAAATTGTAGCCACTTGACAACTATAAAGGTTGAGCTTAAAATGTTTAATGAGGCTTTAAACTCTCAAAAGTGTGAAAGTACAAAGAGAAAATAAAGTTTATGTTCGCTCATGGTCACTATAATTAGTTTTCACAAGAGTCAATTAATAAACACACATGTTCACAAATGTTCAGTTCTTCATTTAAAAAAAAACACCGCCCCAGAATCGTTTCACCTTAAAACAGTGGAAGCTCCTTTTGACATTACACAATACACAGAAATAAAAATACACAGAATCACTTAACAAACTCTGCGTGATGTTTCTGCTGTTTTCAGACAACACGTAATTACAGCATTGATTTCATTAAAACATTTAAATGGAACAACAAATGAGATCACAATTCTGAATTTAAACTACGCAGCTTTTTTTTAATTTTTTTTATGATGACTGCATTAAAAACAAGACAATTCACTTCCAGTCAATGTTAAATTCAATCATCTAAAAGCTGCGTATCTACATTTTTTGGAAGCACGTAGATTTAAAAAAATAAGAACCAGGAATGTAGATTATGACATTAGTATTTTAAAATCCCAACTCTTAAAAAAATGCATTTATTTTTCAACTGGAAAAATTCAACCTTGTTTTTTCCCCCATAATGTTAATCTCAAAATATTTTTCTGGCAAACATCTCACAGTTACAATTTCTTAAGTATTGTCAATTTAGACAATTTGGGGTACAGAAATAGCATTCTTTATAATGACATAGGATAAAAGTAAATACAATATAACACTTTATCCAAACTAAAACCATTGAAATTGGCTGCCACAACTTTAAAAGTGGCTTAAAATAAAACAAGACAAATGGTTGATACTTTTAAACATGTGGAACAGCCAAATCAATGATAAATAGTCCGCCTTGTATGTCTGTGCACGTTGTTTAGGGTAAAAATACATCTGCATATTTACATGATCTGTGCACAGCATGTTGTCCAGCATTAAATTAATATTGCATGTTTATTGCATATGTAAATTTGACTTTTCTCAGCTTTTTTTTTTTTTTTGCTCATCTGTTAACACAAGACATATAAACATGGAAAAGATGGAAATCTTGAAGTGTTAACCAGATAAGAGGTCAAACTTTTTTTTTTTCCCCATTGGTTTAGTAAAAATAAATCAAAAATATTTCTGATTTGACCATTTTTAATAAACATTTAAAACAAAAGAAAGTAATTAAATGAGACAAATAAAATGAACAGGTATGAAGCGAAACAGACAAAGCTGAAGAGACGTATTTGACGGTGTGGTCTCGCTGTTCAAATGTTCAAACATATTTCATATTTTATGCCAACATGCACATTTTAAAGGTTAGTAATTAGTACTGATTGTTAGTAAAGTGCTTGTATTTGTTTAAAGTTTATATAGTAATTACACAGTCCTCCTGAACTGAAGTTGTACTTTTTTAAGTTAACTTCTGAGTAGTTTCTAAATACATTGCATTTGGATTTACTAAAAAAATAACATAACTAATAAATTATTATTATAACATAATAATAGGTATATTTTATGAGATTGTTCTG